AGGCCAAGTGCCGAAGACACCTCTACCTCACTTTGAAACAAGCAAGCACAAACAAAACTGACAGGCATACCTGTAGTTCTTCAAGCCTAGCACAGGTTCACAATACTGGAGATGGCAAAGTTCCAACACTGAAAGGCATCATCCATTCCACCCAAGCTTCCTTATTACTGTTCGAAAAAACCAGTCAGGCAGCACAATCAATCATCACTAACCTGTATTTATATGCATTTAACAAAAAATTTTAAAAGAAATCTAATACACATTGCAATCCCAACCAAATAATTTTGAAGATTAGTTTATGAACAGTGATGACCAATACACATCCAGGCAGAATGCACCATAAGTATAAATTTGCGACTAAGAATGACAAATGCAAACAAAAATAATAGGCTGACGACAATTTAAGAGTCCCCAATATCACTAACATTAAACAGAGTAGTTAGTTATAGAAAATAACCTAAACAATCTCAAAATAAAAAACGTAAGGTAATTTAGCAAATTAGGGGTATCACAGGTGAAAGAGCGCAAGTTTATAATACAGTGCAATGTACTCCGAGTCTAAATTTGCTAGAAGTTGCTGGAGTGTACTGTACATTTTATTTTGACATTACCCTAAGATGCAAAAGAAAAGAAAGTTACAGCTACATTGGGGGTTGCTTCTACTATACTTTTTCATGAAAATGTTTATACAATAAAATTCATGAGTCATTCTGAAATACATCATATTAAGAAAATTCAATAATGGTGGACTTGCGTGGTTAGACAAGTTAGCTTATTTACTTCCTACTATATTGTATCTACTTTCGACTTTCAAAAGCAGGATATTAGCAAATCAAGCTTGTATGTGAAATAATTCTTCCACAAAGAACAAAGCAATATAGCCAGTAATAACAAAACAAAGTGGTGCAAACATTACAAGTCAGACAAATAATCACGCTCAAGCTCATGTTTAAGCCATATTATGCAAAATTATACAAAATAAGATGTTTGACACGTGATTAAGTAAAATGGTTTAACTAGAGAACCCGCAATCTGAACAAGCAACTATGAAATTCAACTCTAAATTGATTCTTCATCCACCTCTTTCAATTACTCAATAGGCAAGCCTTCATACTTTAATCATATAAAACAACGAAATTGCAATTTTATTGAACAAAATAAGATCTCCGAGCTTATATCAACATTCAACAAGAAAAATCAAGAAGTGAAAGCAATAAGAGATTTACCACTCTTTCACTGCCTTGACGAAAGGTTATAAGTTGTCTCTAGACTCTAGCAGGTAATTGTGGAGCATTCCCTCATCTCCATTCAAGCTAGTAACTATGCTATTTAAGAGAATGAGACCCTATGTTGCAGTGATAAGCGTTCCATGCCTTATGATTAACTAGATTCATCCTCAAAGCACACACTTTGACTTTTTCCACTCTCACATCCATCAAATGGTTGTTTGGAATCATTGGTTTCACCTTGGCTATCCAGGACATTTTGATCATAACTACCTAAAATTGGGATAACCCAGTCCCAGTCTCCATCTCTTCTGCCTTCCTCATTTGTTCTAAAAACTAAGCCATTTATTTCCTCCTTACTTTCTTCAAGGTATTCCAATGATCTAGTATTTCGACACCCTAGCAAGATTAAGTCCAACATTTTCCTTCGAAAAACATAAATAGGATTTGCCATAACCAGACACCCTTTGGAATAGGCTTCTCTAAGGAAAACAGTCTGAGCACTTCCCTTGGTACATATATAGAAAATGCCAAGGTGCTTCAAATGCAGCTCTCGACATTAATTCTATAGCAAAATCCTTTCTAAAATGAACCAACCTCTCAACTTCAAGCATCTTGTCTACCGTCAAACTCTATAGCTCGTGAGTAATCCCAACTGCTTGCTTGTCAAAACGCTCAATCCCTTCACAAGTACGCACTCTGAGAACCTCCTTCCTCTCATATGGCTTCAAATATGGAAGCCTCTGTCAGTTCTTCAATTTCTCCCTACATCCTCTCTTTATCTTAAACCCTGTTGGAAAATTAATGGGAAATGCATAACTTGTCTCAGACTCACTCAACCACTTATCTATGTATTCTTTTTCTCTCCATTTTTCATCCTCAGCCTCTGCCAAACTCTCATCTCTGTCAACCAGTTCAACAAATTCTAAATAACTAACTCAAAATCCTTTGAATACTTTCTTAGAATAGAATCTGTAAAATCCTAAGGCAAACCTAGCTCTCTCCTAATCAACCTCAAAGCGTGGACATGAAGTGTCCCATTCTTTGACATCATGAGCAATTTCTTTATTCTCTGCACCAATTCAGGTTCATAATTTTTGACAATTTTTTCTTCCTCATCAATCAAATCTCTCGTTCTTCAAGTTATCTTGCAGCATAAATTCATTCTAAGTGGGTGCGGAAATAACTCAAACACGTGAGAATATTTCTGGAGAAATGCACCCATTCCAACATTCAGACCCACAATGTTTCTCCATCGAGACATCAGTTGTATAGAGACGAAGGGACCTCGCTTTCGCTGGGACGTAAGCTGGTGGATATTGAGTATGGTTTAGAGTTTGTGAATGTGTGTCATGAGTTTGTTGGGTTTTAAATCTCGTGTTCTTGTTTCTAAGCGAATGTGAGCATGGTTGGGGCATCAGAGATAGCTTCCTCTTTCCTTTAGGATTATATCAAGGTTCACTACTAAGTTTTTTTTTTTTTGTTAGTTATGAATGAGTTTAAAGGATGTATTCGATAGAAAGTATCATTGAATATGTTATTTGTCAATGATATAGTCTTAATTATTAAAATTAGTGATGATTTTAATGCGAAAATAAAATTAAGAAGGAGTACGTTAGAATATTGAGGTTTTAAATTGAATAAATTTAAAACTGAATATATAAAATATAAATTTAGTGATAATAGAAAAACATGTACTAATGTGATTAAATTAAATAATGAGGTATTACAAAAAAAAGTCAGTTTTGATATTTAAGATCAATTCTTCAGAGTGATATTGAAATAAAAATAGATATCAAAAGATTCAAGTCAAAGAAATGAGGTGACAAAGTACGTTAAATGCGTTATATGATTGTAAAATGCTTTTAAAATTAAAAGCGAAGTAGTATAAAACGACTGCAAGGGTCACATTGTTATATGAAATTGAGTGTTGGGCTATTAAAAAAAAAAAGAGAAGAAAATGAATGTAATGGAGGTGAGATTGCTTAAATGGATGTGTGATAAAATTAGAAAAGACAAAATAAAAAATTAAGAAATTAAAAAAAAATTAAGAATAGTCCAAATTAAAGAGAAGATGAGGGAGGACCGTTTGATGTGATTTGAACATGCGAAACGTATGTCTAGCTATGCACCAGTTAGATTTGACTCTTTAGATCTAAAAAAAATTAAAACTTCTAAAAATATAGATATAAGTAATAAAAAAATTATATGATGATTAAAGAAATAGATGAAAAAATTGTTGTTGATAGAAATGAGTGGTATAAAAAAATTCAAACTACAACTTAAGATGATTTCCTTATTTAGTCTTTCATATAATCAATATTAGAATATAAGATATAAGACTTAGGGTATTGAGATAGTTGTTGATCTTATTTGTAAGCAAGTCTAAGCTGAAACAAGTTTTTTCCATGTACTTCGTGGAAATGAATTGAATGGGCCAAATGATATTTTATTGCACCTTAGGCTTTGCACAACTGATACCTGTCCCCAGGTAAAACAATTCTAAAATTTAACTAAAATACTATGAAAAATCGTACATACTTACTAACGAATTGTTTAAATTTGGCATCATCAGCAACCCATAATTAAGAACATACAAATTCTTAACCAGTTATTTAATTTTAAACAACGTAACTCTCAACCTTCTAATAGCAAAATTTTCATTCATTATTAGTTATTTATCATATTTCGTTTTTAAAAATTTTGTGAGTTTAATTTTATTGTCTTCACTTATTTTTATTTTATTCTTTATGAGTTTAATTAATTCTTATATTAAAAAATTTTAAGCGTTTCTTTATATTTCGGTAGAGTTAATAAAATTCTACTTACCTTAAAATGTTTCTTTAAAATATTATTTATGGATTTATTTAATTTGAAAATTTGAAAATTTCTAATATTTCATTATTACTTTGGAGGATTCAAATAAAATTTCCATCACTTTAAAATTTTATTTTAAAAAATTATCGGTGTGATTAATCAAACTTTTATAATTGGATGTTTAAATAATTAACTTATTTATATTTTTTAAAGTTTTATAAACTTGATTTTTTTAAACTATAATTCAATAAATTGACATAATAAAAAATAGATAATAAAAAAAATCGGTAAATATAATTCAAAAAATTTCTTTTAAAATTGTTTTTGGTGGATTAAGTTGGATTTGATTGATTGGTTTGAATTGCACCTAGATTAGGCATAAATCAGAGGCCGGTTTAACTTTTCCTCTATATTTTTTTTCCCCAGACTACACCTTTTGGATCACACTCTATAAACAAAAAAAAATCCTAGACGACGGCAACCATTCTCTTCTCACAACAAACCCTCGAGACTTGGTCCTCTTCTTGGAAGACATAGGACTCGTAGCAATTGTAAGCTCAATTGCATTAAGAAGCCATAACATGACTAACTATACACTGCTAATAAATCATACAATGATATTTTTATTAAAAATTACTTTTAAATTTTACTCAATAATTTTTTAATTAAAATTAGAAAATATTTATGAAGGATTTTAAAATTTTAAAATTTATTTAAAAATGAGACGTTAATTTATTATTCATTTACAGTACATATATAGATTCTGTAAGTCAAATATAAACTCTATTCAATTTCATTTGTAGATATCATACGTTTGATAATATTTGTAAGAGAAATATATTTATCAACAAAGACGAGAAGCCAACAAAGATAGAGAAATGGTTTCCATCTTGTTAACGAGAAGAACTTTTATCAGCAACCTCAATACTTTCAATACATGAAGGATATATAATCTTGTTACCTCAGCCAAGACGAGAAGCCAAAAGGTTTTTGTTTAGTTTTCTCATCCAATAAAAGACTTAATTTATTGAATAACAAAGTACAAGTTTTTGTTTACTTTTCCCTAATAACAGAGGAGGAGATATCACCAGATATAAAACAAGACAACCAAAAGCTCAAGCCAACTTAGAAGCAACTTAAATGTCCAAACCAAACAGCTAAACTTCACAACAATCAGAAAAACATTCATAAGAAACAAAAACAGAAACAACCAAAAGGTAAATCAATCACCAACAAGCAAGAAACACTTCAAACACAAGTTTCAGTTTATATTTTTCAATATCCAAGGCTGCCTCCGACCCATTGTTAAAGAGAAAGGATTGAAAATATAAATTGTGTGATGGTAATGAGGATAACGAGAAGAGCGGCAAGAAAGGAGAAGAGTGCCCATGGACTGTAAAAATAATCATGCAAGAGCGTCGCCCTCCATGTGTTCCTACGTTTTTCGCAATGCTTCTTCACTTCTGCAAATATCTCCTCGTAATAAAAGGAGTTACCGCATAATGTAACATGGTCACGAATTTTGTTAATCATTTTAGCAACAGTTGCATCATCACCCAACATATTCTCGATGATTCCACTTAAACGAAGCAATTTCACATCCTTGTCTGAGTTGATGAGGTTATCCGTTAATGTCACATAATCGATCACATAAGTCGAACCTTCCCTGTATAGTTCATAGGCAATAAGGTTACGAAAGAGGCTATCCGTACAGTCATCAACCACAAAGGTTGGAATCTTCATAACCGCAGCTGAAAAGTTAATATCAAACAGGCTCTGCACATTGTTCTCTTCTGTGCTTTTCCCATTACCGTCAACTTCAACCTTCTTGAATTCGATTCCTGCTTCATTCAGCTCTGTTGCACAGCGTAAGGACTGCCACTCCACTCGGCCTTTTCTTACATTTTTCCTTTCTTTTGCACAACATATGAATTTGCATTTGAAGTAGTTGCAGTTGTGGTCGCCCTTATTCATCCCGTTCTCTTCATCGCCTTGACCTTGCTGTTCTTTTGCCTTTTCTACTCCACAGAATGTGAATTTCCATTTTTCTTGGCGGCCTTCATTTCCTTCACTTTCTTCTTCTTCTTTTAGTCTATAGTACGCTTGATGGCGCATTATTCCTTTAGGAGAAGGAAGCCAATTATCATGAACTAAGCCCAATAGGTGCTTGATGTTGTCGGTATCTTTGATGATAGGACGGTCTTTATTCCAATTCTTTGGCCCTGGCAAGAAATTACGAAGGAAAGAGAAAGCCTGGGAAGCCAAGTCTTTTCCATCTGTTTGATCCTTGATCAAGTGATACAAACCGTCTAACACATAGAAAGGAAGCTGATTTTCGAGTAGCAAGATATCATAAAATAAGGCATTTTTAACCCACTCCAGTTCGAAAATGGGATCAATATGATTTGCCCTCCCACACAATAGCTCAACAAGAAAGCAACCATCCCGTAGCATCGTTTCTTTAAATATATTTTCTTTATGAACAAAGGATGGCGAATAGCAATTTTGAGCTTGTTCTATGTTCAAGTCCTTAGCCACTCTTTCCTTGTCATTTTTATTAAGAATCATACTTAAACACCGCTGTTTGTATACTTCCATCTCCTTCAAGTGTGGTTTACCACGGTGATAAGGACCAATTGAAATTAGTTGTGGTTCATAGGCATTTTCATTTACCTGCCTTAGTCGATGAGGCACTTTTAAAAGACTCGAATGGTATGCTTCTTCGAACCTTGGGATTTTGGCTTTGTGATCCTCATTGACGCCCTTTCCCTGTGCAAGACTGGGTGTGTTAGAGAGTACTAGACACCTAACAAAGAAGAATGAAAGACTAGGGTTTTAAAATTATTAAATTAATCCACCTTTCTACATTATTTGTCTAAAATATATTGAAAGTAACTTACAAAGGTCACTATTCATAAATATAGATGAGCGACATGTGCCTTAAAATGATATGAAAAAAGAGTTTTATAGGTTTAAAAGGGGTAAGCACCCAAAAAATTGATACAAAGAATGGAGAAATGTAGGCATTTCATTTTGTCAAAAAAATTTTAAATTATTTTGTATTGAATTTTTAGACTGATTAAGCTAAAATCAAACTTATTTTAATTTGGTTTATGATTGAATTTGACTTTTATAATTCATAATTAAGCAGATTTCATTAAGCCCTCTTAAAGCTCAATTTTGAAATTTAAAGTTCAATTTCATGTTTCGGAATTTGCTTTGTGAGTCTAGGAATTTACTTTTGGACTATTTAATTAATAATTGAGCTTTAATTTTGTTTTCCAATTTATGATTGGGCTTTGAATCCAAGTAAAGAAACGTGCCCAAAATTTTTATTTCCTTTTCTTACATTCCTTTGTATTTTATTTGCTTTTCATTTTTATTTTCTTTTTTTTATATCTATTAATAAAAAAAAAAACTTAGGAAAATTTAAAATTTTCAAGAAAAAATTAAAAAAAAAGAAAAAGTTTGGAAAATAATAAAAAGTCAAAGTTGGAATTTAGAAAAAGGGAAGAAATGGATTAAATTAGGAAAGATCAAAACTTTAGAATCAACAAAAAAAAAACCCAGTGAAAATTACATCGGATAACTTTGAAAAGACTTGGAGAGGAAACAATAAGAAAAAAATGGGAATCGGATCTGCATTCAGTTGCTTTAGAAAGCCTACTAGTTCTAGGATTTAAACCCTATATAAACATCCTTAATTTGCCACAATAATATACAACAATCAACACAAATGCAATGCAGAAAAACATTAAAGGTTATTAAAGTATTGATGGTGAAAGCAAATAGCTATCATAGTTGCATTTTTTCTATTATCATGGTAATTTAATCATCAAAGTGATTTTATTATTAAAGTGATTTTACCACTCATGATCTGAAATCAGTTGTTTGATTAAGAATTATTAATTTTTAGTGATTAAAAATCATTGTAGTTGGTATTACTAAAAATTATATATTATTTTGTTTAAAAGAACCAAAATAATCATGCACATTATAATAGTTACACAAGTTAATAATTTCACTACTATTTAAAGATAATAATTTGTATATAAAATATTAGTAATATTTTATTTACTTTATAATAAATATAATTAATTATTAAATTAAAATATATTTATTGATAGTAAACTAGTTTTTATAGTTCAAAATTATGTAAAACATATTTGAATTAAAAAATAAAATTAATATATTAAAATCAAAATTTTATATTATAAATAAATTCTAAAAAATTAAAAAAATTACACAAAATATTTTTGAATTTGTTGCAATAAATTATTAGTTTGAAAAGATAAAAATTATAATATAAAATAATAAAAATTAATTTTAAGAAGAAATTTTTAATTTACATAATAAATGAGTAATATTAATTATTATTAATTCTATATATCACTTCATCCTAATAATAAAAATTTCTTACCTCTTTGGATAGCAATTAAATTGCCCTCTAAGATAGTGAACTAATCACTCTTAGTGATTCAATATCACCGTTACATAAAATCACTAAATATTATCAAACATGATAATGTAATCACTGTATAAATCACCATATTTTTTAAGTGTTCACCTATACAAAACATTACCTTACCTAAAGGATTTTTAAATTTCAAACTGAAAATCAAGAAATACTAACAAGGAAATTAAAATAAAAAAAAGGAAGGGAGAGTGAACGTGGGTTACGAAATCTTGATTTAGAGCAAAGAAAAGGACAAGTAATGAAGCAAGAGAGATGAACAATCGAAGAAGATGAAGAAAAAAACAAATCCTATCTCTTTTTAAAAAATCGTTATTTTATTCTTTTTTATTTCCATTAAAAAATCCTCTCTTTGAATTATTAAAAAGATAATCAACAAAAAGTTTTATAAACCATCCTAATAGAATTGTAAGTCATTTTAAAAATAATAATGTGTCATTTTTCCTCAGGAACGAGGATTAATAGTCAATGAGATCTTAGTTTAATGATAATAAAAAGTCTTAAAACCTTGAGCTCAATGTTCAAGTTTCACTATTTGTCGGTTAAATTCAACTTTATCTTAGATTTATTCAGTTATATTCTAATTTATTTGTTTGTTTGTTTGATTTAGTGATAATTATATATGGATATAATACTTGAATATAATTATAATTTATACTTATAATTTCACAAAAATACGAATTATTAAAATAGCAGATAGGAGAATGTCCAGGAATTAATAGCGAACTTTGATTACATGGCATCATACTTGGCAAATTAGGAAGCTTATAGTTATAGATTGCAGTTCATGCATTTTTCATTTGCTTTAGGGGTTGTTTGGTGCTATTTTTGTTTCTGTTTTTGTTCTTTTTTTTTTTTTTTTAAACAATAACAGAAAACATTAGTAACCATTTTTGTTTTCGGAAAGCGAAAACAAAACAAAATTTTCTAAAATTGTTAGAAGCAACAATTTCTTATTTTCATTGTTTTTGAATACATGTTTCCATTTCTGAACTATTATAAAGTAAAAGTGAATTAGTATTTTTAGTTAATTATAAATATTATTATTATTTTCATTATATAAAAATTATAAATATAATACTTATTTTTTAATAAAATAATCTTAAATTTAATATAAATAAATCATAAATTAAATATTTAAATAAATTTAATAATTCAGAAACAACATATAATATTTAATACTAAACAACAATTTTGTTAAATAATTTATATTTAATATTTGATTAAATATTTATAATATTAAATATAACATGATATTAATAATTTGACTAAAATATTGAATATTCAATTAATTATATGATATAAATTTTCATTAAATATTAAATTATTTTAATACTAAATACTAATAGTTAAATTTAATATAATTAATTTCAATATTCGATATCAATATTATTAAACAATGAAAATATAAAATATTTAAATAAATATAAATTATATGATATTAAATAGTAAAGATTATATTTAATATTAATTGATTTATTACTTAATTAATATTATATTATATATCATATAACATTAAATATCAATTTCTTAATTAAATATTATATATTATTTAATATTTATATTAATGCATATTATTGAATATAATTTAAAATTATATTAATTCATAATATTATGTAATAAAATTAATATTAACTAATTATTTTTAATAATTTATAAAATTTTTAATTTTAGGAAATTAATTAAATTTATATTTTCCAATTATATTTTTAATTTAAATTTAATGATAATATTGTTTAAATTATTTTAAATCTGAATTTAATTAAATAATAAAATAATTTATTTAAATATTTTTAAAATATTATAATTGTATTTAATTAATATAATATTATTTTTATTAAAATTTTATTTCATTTATTAAATTATTATATTTGAAACAATAGTATTTGTTTTTAATATATAAAAATATTACTTACCAAATATGTTTTATATTTTCAAAATTTTAAAAGCAAAAAGTAAGAAATAATATCAACCGACCCATTTAACTAAGTATTTTTCGCAAGGTAATTGTATCTAGTACTTTCCGGAAAAGTAGTGGTGCCTAATTTATGGACATAAAGTTCATATGCATTTTCATTTACCCGGGTAAGAGTTGTTAAATATTTTCCTAGTAAGGACGTTTAAATGAAAAATATGTAACATTAACTGTTGGCAAGTAGGCATTGTCGGAATGATGCAAAAGCATTAATAGCTAAAATGCACAAGAAGAAAATTTAATAGCGACTTGAGCCTCTTGCCTGGTTGAGCAGAGAATTAAATAGAGAAAGAAAAGGCCAAAGGAGTAAATACTGTTGGCTCATCCTTACAAAAACAATTTTGTTTAAACGGGTGACCAATTATCTTAAAAGTTTAAATTAATTAAAATAGGGTCCAATTATATTTAAGGCTTTGTTTAGGATTGAGATGCAAATGAGCTTTTGACTTAAGGTAAAATTTGGTATAAAATTATCACTTTAAAAATTATGATGATTTACATATGATGATTAGATTAACATATTTAATAAATATTATTTTGAGTTTTTGGTTTGAGTAAAATGTTAGGTGATTCAAGAGAGAGAAGAATGAAAAGGCTAAAGAAGAAAGGTTGAGGGGTTTAAGGCGAGTTGACCGATGAGTGAAAGCGGCAATGGTGGTGGCATGAGTGGTGGTGAATGGTGCCAATTGCTTTTGGGCATCCGAACAATGAAAAGTAAGATTAAGAGGAGGAGAACGATATACTTTGGTTTCATTCGTATCGGACAGCGAAATAATATTTTTTCGGTGGTTTAAAATTTCAAATTTTGGGATTAGATTTAGAGAAAACCAGGACTTTTTAGGAAAAATTGATAAGAAAATGACAAAGAAGAGGTCAAGAGCATTTGGTGGGCAATTTGGAAGTTGACCAATGAGGAAAACGACAACCAATGATAAAGGCAGAGGTAGTGACAGTGACGGTGACATATCACCATTATCTGAAAAGAAAGGCTGTCAGTCGATTGTTTGAAAATTTAAAGAGAAAAGGTCTGAAATTTAGAAAAAGAAAAAAATGAAGGGAAAAAAATTTTTTGACCTATATAGTGTGGAAAAAATGGGTTAGACCTGAACCGAAAACCCGACTCCACCAAATCTTACTTGTGGCTTGTTCCAGATTTGGGTCGACATAGATCAGACCCAACTTTGGCTCATTTTAGATCTGACTTGAATAATTTTAGGCTTTTTCATTTGTTGGGTCAAATCCAATAGTTTGATAATCTTTTTAGTTATTTTGTTTATTTGTTTATTTCATTTTAATTATATGCACATTTATATTAGATCT